TGAAATTTGCACGTCTGCCGTATGATGTGTGGAGAGTTGTGCTTACAAGTGCATGGGCATAAATTTCCAAAGTCCCAGTCTTAGACTACCAGAGGAGAACCACCCAGGTTATGGGAGATCAAAAAGTAATCAGTTAATAACATCATAATTACATCTACATTGGAGTTCCGGTTCCGGCTCAGCCAGGCAGCACGCTCGTGGCTAAGCAGCAGTGATTTTATCTGTATTTTCTATAATTTTATATGGTTTTTATCATTTTTGTTTAGTTGGCTTCTATTTTACTTTCCGCTGGAGGCATGATTTTAACCTTGGCAAAAGTAAACACAGAGCCAATGACCACTGGAGCTGCGGAGAGACATTAGAAATATCTGCTGCCTCTGTATCACAAAATTACACAACCGAAGCTTTGGGAAGAAAACAGAACAAAATAACACCATTACTGCAGACAGTAAGCACGTGCTTGAATCAAGTCTGCAAGAAAAGCATTTACTTCATCTAAGAAAAGCCATCTGCCGTTGGGGGTTGTTTGGGATCTGCCGTCTTCATCCACCTACAACTGGCACACAGTGAGTAAAATTCCTCCAAGCGACAGGGTGGAATAACCTGCCCTTTAATGGTTTGTGATTGAAATGTTTACTGGGGCTAAGAAGTTTTCTATACAGCTGCTACTGACTGTAACTGTGAAACCCATATTCTTTTCCCTTTGAGTGAAAAGTTTGTACCCGCAGAAGTAGAAGGGGATACTAAATAAGCTAAATTTGTGGAGTATAACTATGGTCACTACTAGGACCAAAAAACCTATGGCAAGATAAAAAAGGCTCCCAAAAAGCCAAACCAGAAATCAATAGCAGACTTCTGTGTGGCCTCAGATCTCATCAGCCAACATGAATATGCTTCCTCTTATAATCAAAAGCCACTGAAGGAATTTACATCAACGTCAGCGCCAGACGAATTTCAGTCGGGAGGGCATTCCATAGTCTGGGGGCAGCTGCCGAAAAGGCCCTTTGTCTACAAGCCATCCCTCTTACCTCCTTGAGCGATGGCTCTTTCAAAAGGGCCCCTTGGCTAGATCTTAACTGCCGGGTAGGCTCATATGGAAGGAGGTGGTCCTTCAGGTATCCAGGGCCCAAGCCGTTTAGGGCTTTATATGTCAAAACAAGCACTTTGAATGGGGCCTGGGCAGCAACTGGTAACCAATGTAACTTAAACAGAATCGGCTTGATGTGTTCTCTAGTGGCCCCACCACTCACCAGCCGCGTTACATCTACATTTTCCTGTTTGACCATCCCTTGAACTTCCTGTTTGACCATCCCTTGAGACTCCATCCCATTAGTATTAAAAGAAATGATTTTGGTTTAGGTATCATTTGTATCTGTAATGATTGTAGGTCTCACAGTTATTCTCAAGAATAACTGTGAGACCTACATTCAAATCGTAAATAGTAATACTCTGCCCTTCTGTGTGAAAACTATCCATCGCAAGACAGAAACACTCCTCACTCTGCATTAACTAAAACAAAACTAGATGAAAACTAAACAAAACAAAAACACTCCAGTAACTGAGAACCTGAAAATAAAAACTACATTGTTGATTCCTCATAGATTTTGTCCATGAACTTTTAAAAGAGCCTTTTATGCCCCATTGTACAGTGGTGCCTCGCTTTATGATTGACCCGTTTAACGACGAAACTTGCCCCGTTTAACGACGAAACCGTATTACAATGAACTTTTTGCGATCGCTTTTACGATCGCAAAACGATGTTTCCTATGGGGGAATTTCACTTTCCGATAATTGGTTCCCTGCTTCGGGAACCGATTCTTCGCAAAACGATTTTCCAACAGCTGATCGGCGGTTTCAAAATGGCCGCCGGGTAAACAAAATGCCCCCCCGCTGTTTTCTGGGATGGATTCCCCGCTGCACAGGCAGCGAAAATGGCCACCCTATGGAGGATCTTCGCTGAATGGTGAGTTTACAGCCCTTTGGAACGTATTAAACGGGTTTTAATGCATTTCAATGGGTTTTTTCTTTTCGCATTACATTTTTGTTCTACAGTGAATTCGCTGGAACAAATTAACGTCGTAATGCGAGGCACCACTGTAATATGAGCAGCATGGTGAGAAGCAGTGAGCGCTAAGAACATCACTTTCCTATAGGTAACTAGATCATATTAAATAATACTACTGTAAGCAGTCTGAGGAACTATGACAAAAGTAGCAATTAGAGTTAGCTTTGCCCTGGACCATGGGAGACATAACTGGAGTTAACAATAGTGAAGTCAGACTCTCAGATTAGTTGTCTCAGAAACTGGACTTGTCCATGAAAACTCTCATTAAAACATAGCAGTTAGTCTTTAAGGTCCCACAGTGTTTTTGGCTTCTTTTTTTTTCTTTTTCCTTTTGATTTGCCTGATAGGCTAGCTACCTCTTCTAAAATTACATCAATGGCAAGGGTTATGCTTTCCTTTCTAGTAGTTTCTTTCCAGCCTTCTGGATGGGTTTATAAGAAGTCTCAAGACATTCTCTTTGGGATAAGTTCACTCAGCTCTTGCTTCCTTTGGTGAGTTTAGGATGCTATTTTTGCTCTCCAAAATCACAGTTAACTGGCCAGACAGCCCCTCTGTAGCCAATGATGTTTTTTCCAAATGATCCTTATGGATTTTTGGAAAGCCTTTCTTATTTGAAGAGTAAGAGGGCTTAGATTTTGAAAGATTTAGTTATCCACCCCTTAGTGTGTTAAACCCCACCCCTCACCCCCCATAGAACACAATATGAATGCTTTTATCTTATGCCTAAAAAACATCAGAGAGTTTGCCTTTGCGCAAAACTGAGCCAGTGTTTCTTTACACATTGAAAAAAAAAAGATATCCAACAACTATCTTAATTTGCTGGGAATGGGTTGCAAAAAGGTCTATGATCCAATTTAACAAATTAGTCCCTTCCTTAAACTGTTTACTTCACCTGAGACAAAAGCTAAATTTCTTTCTGTTTTTCAGAAGCAGAAATTTTGATTGCATGTTCCAAGTCTGGTGGGCAAATGTACAACAACCAAATGCTTTTGCAGCTCAAGGTATTATTTGATGTATTTGCCAGGCCAGAAAGTGTTTCAGAGATCTCTTCTTCTTTCTCCTTCAGAGAATTTGTCACCTCTATCCACTCCTGATGCATAATCTTGAGCTGTTCTGTTATCAACTTTAGCTGACCAGTTTCAGGAGCACTGTCTTTTACCACCTTTTTGCCCATTGTTGGTACTTCAAAAGAATCTGGTGGTCCACATTTTTGAGGGGTGTTCTGGAATGTAGCAGAACCCAAAAGATGACGTTATTCCTGCATGTCAATCAGAGAATAGAGCAGGAGGGGCGGAGTCAGAATGACAATTGGGGAGTTAGAAGAGACAGTTCAGGACAGTTGGAATCAGATAGGGATAGGGAGAATTAGGGACAAGAAGATGGGGAGAGAATGCTAGGGTTTAGGAATAGCTAAAAGCGGTTAAGAAAGGAAATTGAAAGAGTAAAATATATTGAACAAGCAGGAATGAACACATAAGCATAACATGAGAAATACCAGTGATTGAATACAGGATCTAATATATGCATACCTGACACAGTTATATATTTGATTCTCCTTATGAATTTGTTCATTAATAAAAGAATATTTGATCAAACCCTTGATTCCTAAGTTATATGAGCAGCTCCTGTGTGGGGGAATTGTAGTGGTATTAGGAGAAATACTGTACCTGGTGGCAGCAAAAAGAAGGAAAAAGGCGAGTTTACTTTTGTGGAGCCCAAAGGAAATAAAGGGGCAACAAGGGGGATCGCCACATGGAGCATAAAATTCATTCAGCTGGTTATCTCCCCCCTCCAAAACCCTAGAGCATGCTTGAGATGTATTCTTTCATGGTCTCTAAAAATCTCAAATCTACTCACTTTAGTACAGTACTTTGTTTATGTTTATGTATACAAATATTTATATATACAAATATTCAGTGAGATTCTGGCCAATGTCAGTTTTCAAAAAAAGATTTGTGAATTGGTCCTCATGCTACACTGAAGAAATTCCAGATACCTCCTTATGCAAACAGATAGGAGGAATACATGCATGAGCAAGGGTTTTTGCAAATACCATCTTCTTTGATTCATCCTCAATCAAACAGCAACCAAATCACTTCAATCTGTAGCCTATCCCCCCTTGATTCATATCCAAATATTCAAAAGTATTAGTATGTATTATGGGTCCAACAGTGGGGGGGAAATGAAAATGGGGAAATAAAGAACTCTGGCCTGGAATGGGGTGGGGTGCGGGCGAAACCTGTTCTGCCATCAACTACTACTTTACCAGCAGTGTGCAAGCAAAATTGCAATTGGCTTCTTTCCTTCCTGATGAGAAAGAAAAATTATGTTAGGTAGCCATCAGCTGCTGATTTTACATGAAATGTAAAAGTATGAAGACAAGAAGGGAACTGGAGAACTAGGGAGCTGAATGCCTTTGGAGAGTCAAGGTAGGGTAATCACAAACTAACAAAAGTATATCTTGGAAAATGTAAATGAAATAAGAATAGTCTGTACTTTCCCCCTATATATAACCCAACTGTCAAACCTGGAACTATATAAAATCCTTACACTCTGTACACCTTTACAATACTTGGGTATTGCTCTTCTGCTGTTCCCTACACCCACAATTTTAAATAAACAATCTAATCTAAATTTTTATCTGGAGAATTCTCTAATTTGGTGTAAAACTCATGATTCTAGGGGGATATTAAGTAAAAAGCATGTCCGTCTCAGATCCATGCTTTTGCATCATGATAGAGTGAGGAATCTTTTTTTACAGTTGTAACTACATATGTGCTCTGTTTTAAGCATGATGCAATTGCACTTTGTGTGACCCCCTGTAAAAATATACAAACAATACATGAGAAAGTATGCCTTCAATGTACAGTATGCTTGTTTCTACTGTGGCAGCTTGTTGACAGAATCCATGATTTTTATAACACAGTCTATGGGCATGAATGTGGTCCATGATTTCCCTACAGGATCAAGTGGATCCCATGTAAAAATCTTGAGCCTCAGGTCCATGGCTCTGCACTATGATAGTGACATGAAGTAAGCGATCCATGATTCTTGAAGTAAGCAGTGCATGATTCTTGACTCAGTCACACGTCTTATCTGCCATTTTGAAGGAAGAAAGTAATCTATGAAATCAAGAACATTAGGCACTGCCAGCCCTCTCCTTTTCTTATCATCTTATAATACTTTACATCTTATCCTTGGTTTTTTGACTTTCCATATGAATATATTTATTTGGTTTTGCCAGTCTTCTAAAAAAGTTTCCCAAATTGTAATTGGAATCATTTGAAACAAAAATAATTTTTTTGGCAATATATTCATTTTTATTGCCTATATTCTTCCCAGCCAGGAGAGTTTTAGATTGGCCCTTCCTCTTAGATCTTTCTGTATTTTTTCCATCCTTTTTCATAATTATCCTTATATAGTGTTTTATTATTTCCTGCTAAGTAAATACCTAGCTACTTTATTGGTTTATCCATGAGTTCATACCCTGTAATGTTTATAATGCCTTCTTGTTTTGTTAGAAATTTTGTTATAATTTTAGTTTTTTTCCTGTTAATTTTAAAGCCTGAGTACACTCCAAACTTTGTTATTTGCTAATGGATTGGATATAGTTAAAACAACATCATCTGCATAATTTTAGCTTAAACTCTTATCCCTCTGTCTTTAAACCTTCAATTCAGCTGTTTTGTGTAATCTTGTTTGCAAAGATCTCCATTGCTAAAATAACAACAGTGGTGACTGAGCAGCATTGTCTGGTTCCCTTCTCAATGATAGGATCTATTATTCAATGGTGATTTGGCTAGGATCACACACAAAAATTCATATGAAATCCTCAGGATCCATTGTTCTTGATTTCATGGCTCTGCCTTTTACTCAGACCCCCATCTGACCATTAGTTTACACAGATCTCTGGTAAAAATAATGAAGGGAAGTTCCCACCAAGGTGATGGTGTGAAATAAGGATTCTGTGATTTTAATAGTTTAGTATGAGAGCTCGTAACACTTTTGTGTTCTGTAATGTGACCCTTCTTTGGGAGGGATGTAAAAGTCCAAGGGTACATGAGCATCCATGCCTTTGTGCCATGGCAGAACTCGAAAGCAACATATACCGGTACTTGCCTGTTAAGGTTCCATCTATGAAGGCAGATGTGATGGAAAGATCATCCTCTGAATAAAATAAAAGAGGACCCGTTTAATTGTGGTCCCAGCTTTCGATCATCTTTTTAAAAAAAATAATAATCCTCTTGCCATTTTCTTTCCACCTGCCAGTCCGAGGCCTGGCCTTGGCAACCTGCTTGAAGGAT